GAGTGTGACCTTACTTGGAAATAGGACCTTTGCAGATGTAATCAAGTTAAGAGGGGTGATTAGGTGTCTAATGAGACTGGTGTCTTTATAAGAAGAAGAGAGTTCATACAGGGAGGAGAATGCCTTGTGAAGACACAGACCCAGATGTGGAGGGAAACAGCCATGAAGACAGAGGAAGAGATTGGGGGTTTGCTGCCATAAGCAAAGAAATGCCTCAGGCTACCAGAAGATGGAAGAGGTGAGGAAAGATGCTGGTCTAGAAGAGCTGGAGAGAGCATGCTCCTGCCAACACTCTGTTTCAGACGTCTGGCCTCCACAATTGTGAGACAGTAAATTTCTGTTGTTTTAAGATACCCAGTTTGTGAAGCATTGTCATGGTAGCCCAAAAAAACTAATACACAGGCCTAATCACCCCTCCCTCCATCACAAAATGTCTTCCCATCTCCTCCTTGTGAGACCTGTTCTCTCTTTCCAGGTCCCTGAAGCACATTCTCAAGAAACAAGTTTTTCTCCATGTCTTTTTCCTGTAGGTCTCTGTGTCCGTAAATGCTTATCTCCAGAGTCCATCTCAAGATCAAAATCCCTTAATTTATTTTTTCTCTCCTGAAGAAAGCCACACTTCACATTATTTTTCAGTATACTTTTAACCTCTCTGTCTCATCCTCTTTCACCCAGACTGGACCCAAAGCCTTCTTTTTCCAAAACTCAATGTTCTTACTTTCTTATTGCTTCTTAACCATAAGAAAACTCTCTTAGAATTATTCTGCCCTCAGTAATAGCTAGCTTTTAAAATGTAACTTTTTTCCCCTTGTATTTTGTCAGGCATCTTTCTTTTTAAAACTCTTATCCCCTTGCCCTCAGGATATATTCTAAACCCCTGATTCTTTCATTCAGCAGATAATTAAGCACTTCTTAGGTGCCAATGAAAATACTTTGCCAATGAATAAGAAGCTGTGGTCTTGTCCGTCATGAAGATGGCAGACCAGTGTTAGAGAAAGATAATAAGTAAACATACAAATACATACAGAGTTATGCCACTATAAATTGTGGCAAGCGCTATGAAGAAAGGGTATTGTGTTACCTGAGCTAAAGTAAGAATAGAAGTTAATTTAGATTGGAGAGCAATTAATAATTCCAATTATTTATTATTAGACTGTCACACCACCCCACAACTTAATTGGCTTAAAGAAAAATCAATTATGATCTCTCTCAATTTTGGTGGTTGCCTGGGCTCAGCTGGCTGGTTCTTCTGTTCCACATGATATAGAGAGAAGCTGCAATCACCTGAAGGCTCAACTAGACTGGAATACCCAAGAGGGCCAACTACTATGATGGCAGTTAATATAGGCTGTCTGCTGAGAGCTCAGCTGAGACTGTTGACCAAAATGCTTACATGTAGTTTCTCCAGGTGGCTTGAGCTTCTCATAGCATAGAAGCCAGGTTCCAAAAGGGAGTATCCCAAAAGTCAGCATTCCAAGATGAGGAACCAAAAGTGGCCAGGCCAATTAAAAGCACATCCTCTCTCACCCAGATGGAACCCAAAGCCTTCAGGGATGGCTTTGGGATGGACACAGTCACATTTCTCTTGTATTCTGTTGGCTAACGTAATCCCAGGTCCAGCAACTAGGTCAGTGTGGGAGAGGTTTACCCAAAGTTGTGAGTACCATGAGGCATGGTTCATTAGGGTCACAGTCTACCATGGGGACTGAGAAGTCATAGGCAAGGGGGAGAGGAGATGACAAGTTCTGAAAGAAGAGTTGGCCAGGCAAAGAGTTGAGAGAAATGGCATCCATCAGGAAAACTTGGCTCTTTCTAGGAGCTGAAAGAAGACAGTGTGGCTTGAGGGTTGGATATACAGTGAGGCTCGTGGAGACATCTAAGGCAAATTAAGAAGTTGTGATTTACCTAAAACATAACAAGAGACTATTTAAGAGCTTTTGGCAGAAGAAATGCACCATGAACCAATTGAGTTTTTAAGAGACCCCTCCATCTGCTGTGAGAAGACTGGGTTCAAGGGAGTGGGAGGACATCATGGGAGGCCTGGAGGAAGGGTCCGTAGTGGCCCAGCACACAGGAAAGTAGCTTATACCAGGTGACAGTGTCAGAAGAGACAGAGAGAAGTGAATGAATTTGATAAAGTTTTTGGAAGTTGTCTTGGCAGGATTTAGCAGTTGTCTGGATGTGAGGAAGGTGAGAGAAAGAGAGGTCAAGAATGACTCCCAGGTTTCTAGCTGGAGAACTCCCAAACAGGAGAAAGTAGTCCAGAAGATTTAGGAGAGCGAACTAAGAGTTCAATTGGGGGCATGTTTTTGTTTGAGATGCTTTTGGAGACATCCAAATAGAGATATCAGACAGGTAACTGGAGAGACGAGTCAGGAGGTCAAAAGCAGTTGGACAGCTCTGGACTTGTCCAGATACAACTTGTAATACAATCTTCTGTTTACTCCAGAGCTATCCTCAGGTCTGTACACTCCAGCTATGTCCCCAGGAATGGCCTGCTGCCCCCAAGACCCAACTTGTGCACATCTAGCTCTTGGCACTTCCTGTTCTCTCTCTGCCTCCATCATTCCACCCTCCATTGTCCCATCGCCTGGTTATGTCCTGCCAGATTTGTACATATGACTGTCCCTCGACCCTCCCCCTCCATGACATGGCCCTTGTCACATTACCTTCGAGTAGCACCTTCCCTTGCACTTCAATGCCCCCATGGAACGCAAACTCCTTAAAGCAGGAAGCATGTCTTGTTTAGGGTTGTGTCCTGAGTAGGTGCTCAGTAAATAACAGCAAATGAATGAACTGACCTCTGCCTCCAGGCTCTTGCTCCCGTTTTTAGGGAATATTATGTTCATAGTACACTCCTCTAAACAGCCCTCTTATCTTATGCTTCCCTTCCCCAAAAGCTCTAGAGATTTCTTTTGGTTACTGCTTCCAAAGAAGGATTGATACTCTCTCGCTCTCCCTGCTCTTGTTGAACATATTGAAAGAGAAATCATGCAAGGCCTAGATATTTGGGGGTCAGGATTTCTTAACAAGCAAGAACAAGGGAGGCACTGGAGCAGGCAGCACTGAGGGCCAGAAGGGAGGAGATAGAGTAGCCTCTAGCACCTTCTCATGATTACAAAGGCAGATACAAAGGAGGAACTTCAATTCCTTATATTTGTGTATCTCAGGAAACACTATACATCAAGGTCCTTAAGCCACTATTAGTTCACCAAAAAAAGAGAATTGGATAGGAACAAACATATCCCAACCTCTCAAATGAAGGATGCTGGCTATAAGCTCACGGATAAGTTACTATCACCAACTTTGTGCAATAATAGGACTATTTTATCATCTTTTGTATATCATAATAAGAAAAAATGAAACTAGATGCCAATGTTAAGAACTATAGGTTTTAGAGGAGCTTATTGCAATTGAAAGCAAGACAGCCAGGTGGCCAGGGTAAATCCCGTGGGCACAGACAGCCAGCCAGCTATGTTTGTTCAGTTGTAAAGGATAAGAAGAAATAATTATTGATCATATACAAGATGCTGGGAATATATTGTTGAAGTTTGAATCTAGAAGGTAAAATGAGATTAGGGATTTAAAAGGTTTTAACTCTCTTTTGAAAATCCCTTATGAAAGATAAGTCTCTTGTTCCACTTTCAGTTCCAAGAACCCATTATAGATGACAGCTTGGGGACCATCTGATAAAAGAGGGTCAAGCTGAAGGAAGGGAGCCAGTCAGTCTTGGCACTATGTGAAATGCTGCAAGAGCAACTATACAAGGGTTTCCCTTCTAGGATGTGAATTGTTATAAAGGGTGAAGGTTTGATAATCAACCATGTTGGTGAAAAGCACAGTCCAGAGGAAAACATCGTTTTTGGAAGGAAGTATGGAGAACCGTCAAAGAATTCAAACTAGACCTCCCATTTGATCACTAGGCATCTGTCCAGAAGAAAAAAAAAATCCTTTTATCATAAGGATATTTGCACTAGACTGTTTATCGCAGCTTAAGTTACAATTGCAAAATATGGAAATGGCCTAAACACTCACCAACCCAGGAATGGATTAACAAGTTGTGGTATATGTATACCATGGATTACTATTCAGCCATTAAAACAGATGGAGACTTTATATCTTTTGTATTAAACTGGATGGAAGTGGAACACATTATTCTTAGTAAAGTGTCACAAGAATGGAGAAGCAAGAATCCTATGTACTCAATTCTGATATGAGGACAATTCATGACCTAGTACACGATGGAGGGGGGAGGAAGTAGGGTGCAGGGAGAGGGAAGGAGGAAAGGGGGTGAGGGTCACGGGGTGTGACACACCTCTTGGGACAGGGACACAGTTTACTAACAAATGCAATCAGTGTAACCTGGTTCTTTGTACCCTCAATGAATCCCTAACAATAAAAAAAAAAAAAAAAGGTAGGAAATAGTAACCGTACAGATGGTATGCTAGGTCTAAAGAAAACAGAAGGTAGGTTGAGACAGACTAAAGATATAGAAATACCGTCTCATCTAAGCCCTTTCTGCCTCTGGCTTATAGATAAAGATCTCTACACAACACTCTGTAAATGTGAGAATGGAAGGCTACTATTCTCCAAATCCACCCAGCCATAGGTGCTCTGCTCACATTGCACTTGCTGGTGACATGTGGCTGCCCGTGTGTGTCCATCCTGGTCTAACCCTGTGGCATTGGCAGGCTGCAGCAGGTGGTGTCTAAGGAATTCTTTGACTCCTGTGTAAGGGAAAGCACTGGGGGCAGGGCGGGGGGGAGCTCCTCAGGGCCCACGAGCCTCTCTCATCCACCAATCTTCAGGAGTCATTTACAAAAACCCACCCCCAGTATTTGTGGGTTATTTGGATTCTGGATTTGAGCCTTTAAAATAAGAAAGCTCTACCTGCAATCAGAATGATTTTGTGTGTGTGTGCACATGCTCTTAGTTACTGAATATTGCTATCCTGTCCATCTGTGGCATTTGAGAAGACATAAAGTTCTCACAAGTTGGTAAAAATATATTTTATTTGTTCATACAAAGAAATAGTATGAATTACCAGAATTTCATTTTCCTAGAAACATCTTCCTTTGTGTAAAATTAATTTGTGTTATACATAGGACAAAATACTTGATTTAAATTTTTTTGTACATATTGGCTAGTCTAACATCCAGGTTATAGAAGACATACTGCTAGAATTTGCACAGTATTTTAGATTACTGGGCTGAATGAAACTCAGTCATAAATTAATGTTATAAAAGTGAAAAAGAAAATCTAACAACACCTGTAAGTTTTTTTGACCATCCTTTCTGATAAACCAAATGGAAAAATGACATTAATTTATATGTCAACATCTTGGATACGTACCGTTTCTAGTTCATTGGAACAGTCCGTTTTCCTTTCTTATAAAAATACCCTGGCAGCATCTGAAATGGTGCTCCTTCAAAGGTCTCTAATGTATCTGTCACTCAAAATGACCCCAAAAGAGAATCCCAATTTCTCCTCCTCCGTCATCATATTATGAAGTCATGATACCTAAATACCTTTCCAGGTACCACCTACAAGTTAACAGACTACAGCACAAACACTGCAGAAAAAAAAAGCACAGGAAAGATAGGAACAATAAAAACCTCTCATTTTTTGTTAACATTTTTTGTTTGTTTTCAAATGAGAAAAGAAAAAAAAACAGAGAAATAAAGTACTGCAATGAATACCAGAGATTTTCCCTCAAACTAGAAGAAACCCAGAACATGCTGGGACAAAATGCCGAGACATGAAAGGGGGTTTGTCTTCTAGCAGCTAAAAAGCTAAGTGTGGTGGCCTTGGAGATTGCTAGAACAGGAAGAAATTCAAGGCTTAATTTTCCCTGTGGCCTGCCTTCTCCAAAAGGAAGACATGCAGGTTCTGTAGTAACTGCCACAGGCTGGGGTGTAACCCAGATCAGTCGGGGGCTGTAAGCTATCAGACCCCCTAGGAAGAGGTGCACGTGATGTTTGATTTATTTGTCTTATATAGAAAAATTTGCTATGCTCCATCAGTGCTAATTGCGGACATGTGTTTGAATTCAAGAATTTGACCCAGAATAGAATTTGACCTACTTCATTGTTGACAACTAAATGACCCTCCTTCTATCTGCAAATTTCCTGTTTCAGTTTTATTTTAAGGCAGGGAATAAACAATCTAAAAGTGTCCAGCTTGGGAAGAGGGCAGGGACCTGCAGGGGAAGGCACATGAGTACTTTCCTCTGGCTTTGTTGCAGCCCCTCTCTGAACCTTCCTCCTTCTTCCTGAGCCACATCAGATCACAGGGATGGCCAGAGAGCTGACAGGGCAAGTCTCCGTGAAAGGCCTGGATATCACCTTCTATTCCAAGCCATATTATGCTGTAACTGAAAAGAGGAGATCTCAGTTTAATTTCAAATAAGCGAAATAATGTACAACCAGTCAGCACCCTTGGCCGGTGTTTTTCACATCCAAGCAACAAGAGGGCTGAACCATGCTAGCTATGTTGGTGTTCCACCAAGTGCAGGCTCCACGTCATTTTCTAGACACAATCAGAAAGCTATGCAATGGTTTTAGCATTTGAGGAATGCATACAGCCCTAACCATCTTCCTCCAAAAGGAACCTACACGATGATACTTTTGCTATTAAGTGTAAGTAGCCAGATCTGGGTTAAAACTTGTGGGCAAATATAAACCAGATTATTAAGATACTACTTAAAGTGGTATCTTTGATCAGTTTCTAAAGATGAATTATCTTTTCCTCTTTCCAAACAAGTTTTCTTACATTATCAGACAAGTTATCTCATACAAAACACAAAAGTGTCCTTTGTAAATATCACATCTTAACCATTTTGTCAATATGTGTCTCTTCCCACATATTCCTTGATGAAGGAATAACTCAAATAACAATTCTTTTCTGGTAGAAGCATTCTGGTTTGGAAAGCTGAGGATAATCTGAATATATCACATGTGATACTGCTGTATGTTTAGCCAGCTGCCCCATAATGCTATATGGTTACCCAGCAGTCTAAGTCATCATGCCCAGTAGCTCTCTCTTACCAGAAAGGTTAAGTGAAGAGCATTCTGCACAGCAGTGACAATGCTGGCAACCCTTTGGTCAAGACCTGGCTAAAACAAGGAACAGCTATACAAGTGTCAGGGTCAAGTGTTTACAGGTAGCAGGGGCCAGCTTCCCCAACCTGCCTTTACAAGCCCCAGTCTTGGTTCTTGTCATTTGGCCATTGACTACAGACCATGTTGTCACTCTGCTATGTCATGCTGAGATAAGCTAGGGGCTCCGAGGAGACATCAAGCCAGGGGGAGCAGGGATTCCCTTCCCATGTCAGGCTGCCTGTCATTCTTGGGTCTTTCTCTTGTCTCCCTGTTGAGGCTCAGGGCCTGTGGCCCAGCATTTGCTGACTCTGTACCTAGCAGCCCCTTGGAAGACTGAAGGTGAGGGACACGTCTGACCCCTTGTGTCACATCACCCAGCGTCCTTGGTTTGTGCTGGTGGCTCTGCCAGCCCATTGGATTCTTTGGTGTGTTAAAGCAGAACTGCCTGCCTGGAGAACAAAGCGTGGTGCCCTCTCATGCAAATTAGAAGAAATCACCTTTATTTCTAAAGCAGCACCCAAGAGTCACACATGTGACCTGGAAAAGAGGACGCTGACATTTGCATACACTTTAAGCTGGTTAATGAAGTGGGGAATGGGGAAGAGGAGGATGCTGGGCCATCCTTCAAAATCAAAAGCTAAAGTAAATGCAGGCTGGCATTGCAACCAAAAAGGAAGTGAGTGATTCCCCGCTGCTGAGTGGGGGTGGGAGACCCTGGCGCTGGGGGTGGAAGCCTCCTATCCTCCAAGGAAGCTGCTCGGTGAGGCCTGGCCTTCAGAACTCAGCAGCTGGCAGCTCAGCGCTGCTCCGAGGTGCGCGGCAGAAGACGGGTCCTGGAATATGAGAGCAAAGACGTGAGGAGGCAGCCTGCCGAGAACTCAGCAGCTTGCAGCTCAGCGCTGCTCCAAGGTGCACGGGCAGAAGACGGGTCGCTGGAATAGACCAAAGAGGCGAGGAGGCAGCCGGCAGAGAACTCAGGCGGCGGGGACTGAAGGCTGAATACCCGTAACAACCAAAATCTCAAGTTGTGCTTTTCTTCTTTTTAAATATAATAGGCAGGGGAGTGGGGGACAACACAGAAGCACCATCAGCTGTGAAGAACAAAATATAAGGAGTTCAACACTTTGGAATGTTAACAGATTATGACGCTAACTCCCTAAAGAGTGTGGCCAGGCAGCTTAGTGAATTAATTGCTTATGAATTAAAAATAAATTATTATAAAATAGATTTCTGTACATTTTACATACATATAATCTCTCTCAATATATAAGCCACATGGTAAGGTACACAGCCCAGGTCCGTTCAATCCCAGCCAAAGTCGAGCCCGGTCATCTGGTAGAACTTGCGGTTGAAGGGCCGGTAGAAGTCGCGCAGCCGCCGCACCACCTCGCGGTCGATGTGCGGGTGGGTCCGGCCCTTGGTCTTGCCCAGGCAGTGCGGCTTGCCGCTGCCCTCGGCCTTCTTCAGGCAGGGGAAGCCCTTGGTCTTGTTGAAGTAGAAGTGCTTGTCCGTGATGATCCTCTTGAGGCCCAGGAAGTCCTGCACGCGGCCCAGCTCGCCCGCCGGGTCGCTGATGAGCCGCTCGCCACTCACGAAGAGCATCTGGCCGAGCGGGAAGTGGCGCAGCCAGAGCTCCAGGTGCTTGGCGTAGATGCCGATCTGGATGGCGCTCCACGACGTGTCCACCAGGCCCGCGCTCCTGTTCTTGAACGTCAGGCTCTCGAAGGTGGGGATGTCGGGCCGCTTGGACAGCGTCTGCGTGTAGTCCGAGATGGCCCTGGTCACCGGGTCCCGCACCACCACGATGAGCTTGGTGTCCCTGGACATGGCCGAGATGCGCGCGGGCGCCTCCCGCGTCACGAAGTAACTGGGCGTCTTCTCCATGGTGATCTGGCCCTCCAGGGTCCTCGGCATCAGGTCCCTGGGAAGAGCAAACAAACCAGAGGGTCAGAAGGGCACGCCTCTGCGGCCACAGGTCTCAAGGTCAACGCTTCTAATCCCGGCTCCCTCTTACTAGCGCAGAAACGTGAAGTTACAAGCAGAATTTTAGAGCTGAACGGGACGTTAACAATATCCCAGCTGAAGTTGGGAGGGCACGTTCTCTCCTCCTGAAACATGAAGGCATCTCACAAGGCAGAAAGAGCAAGATACCCCTTTCTCTAGGATCCTCTTGTGGGTGCCCCTTCTTTCTTATTTTTCAGGTATCCAGCTTTCAGACTGGCCCACACACTTGATGTCAACACATAAGAGTCTTTGGCCTCTGGTTTCCCTAAAAAACAAAATAGCCCTGGGGCTGGCAGAGATTTCACTGTCTGTGAGTCCAGTCCCCAGCCTGCCTTCACACACATACCAGGCCCAGGTGAATGTGCCATGGACACCAGAAGAAAAACACCTCCCTGGTCCAGCCAGGTTGTTCCAGCTTTATCACAGTGACCACTGACACAGCCTTCATTCCAAAAAGCCACACAGCACACTGCAGTCAGACTCGGTGAATCAGGTAAGTACAAACTCATACAAACAGGCCATGAGGAAATTCCCAAGACACAATTCTAGCAGCTTTCAAAAATACCTTAGATTCCATTAGGGGGAAAAATGGTAAGATATCTGTGACAGCATTAACTTACATTAACATACAAAGTGGTATACAATTCTGTTACATCCCTCAGTACATAAAGACCATGGTATTTGCCAAAAAGCGGTTGGGGGAGGGGCAGATCACATCACATTGATTACACAAATCAGTGACATTAACACCTTGGTTATAAGAAATGACGTCCAAAGCCACGTGAATGTAGCTGATACTATAAAACGAGTTGCAAATTTTAATTGTTAGGACCTAGATTCTGTTACATGACTATGTGATATGACTGTTGTCATACAACTTGGGGTGGAGAGTCTGGAGCTTAGGGGTCTGTTGATGCTGTAAGTTCCCTCTGTGGAATATTTTCAGGTGAATCTGCTCAAGAAAAAAGAAACAGCACCACCCAAGGCAAGCAAGGGGTGACATGGGAGGCTTGGAGAGAGTGATAACACTCTGGGCTGAAAGAGGACTGTCCATGGTAGGGAAAAGCAGGACATAAAAACAGGTGCCTGAGCAAAAGGAAAAGCCTACAGGTGGATGTTCTGTGACACCTCAGGACACAGGAGATGGGAAAGGGAAGGATGGAGACAAAGAGGAGTGTTGGGTCAGATGTCCTCCTGGGACTAGAGACTGTCAATGAAGGCAGAGACTGTAAAGGGCTCTGGACCAGCACTGTGGCTCACGCCTGTAACCCCAGCACTCCAGGAGGCAGGGGCAGGGAGAATCACTTGAGCTCAGGAGTTCAAAACTGGGTAAGGAAGAGCAAGACTGTTTCTGTTGAAAATAGAAAAAAAACAGCCAGGTGTGGTATTGGGTGCCTGCAGTCCCAGGTATTAGGCAGGCTATGGCAGGCAGGAGGATCTCTTGAGTCCAGGAGTCTGAGGTTGCTGTGAGCTATGCTGATGCCACTCCACTCTAGCCTGGGTGACAGAGCAAGACCCTGTCTCTAAAAAAAAAACAACCAAAAAACCAAAAAGCAGAGTATGGGCTCTAGTGTAAATGGGCCTAGCTCTGAGTCCTTCTCCACATCCTGTCGGCTCTGTAACCAAGAGGCAAGTTACTTAATCTGTCCGAGCTTTATTATCCCAATACCAATATGTGAAGTGAAAATAATGATACCTACTTTGTAGAGTTGTTAACTGAAAATTAAATAAGGTTAGCTCTAGCAATCCCACGACTGGGTGTTTAGCCAAAGGAACTAAAATAAGTATGTCAAAGAGATATCTGCACTCCTGCATTCACTTCAGCAGTATACAAGTTAGCCAAGACACAGAAGTAACCTAAGTGTGTATTAATGGATGAGAGATTGCTTTAACGTGGTATGTACACACAGTGGCTGTTCTTAAACTGCCTTTAAAGTAAAGGAAGTCAGTCACTCACGACATGAATGGAATTGGGGAACATTATGGTAAGTGCAATAAGCCAGGCACAGAAAGACAAGTACTGTCCACAATCTCGCTTATATGTGGAATCTAAAAATGAAGATCTCATTGAAACAGAAAGTACAAAGGTGGTTATCAGAGACGGGGGTCGGGGAGGGGTGCGACTAAAGGGAAGATGTTGATCAAAGCGTAGAGTTTCAGTGACTCTAGAGAAGTAAGTTTTAGTGATCTATTTCACTGCTTGGTGACGTCAATTAAATACAATGCATTGTCTATGTTAAAATTGCTTCAAGAATAGAATTTTAACATTCTTACCACAAAAAAAAAAAGGACAAGTTGGTGAGGTGATGGATATGTGAACTTGCCTGGTTCAATGTTTTCTAAATAAATGTATATCAAAACATCACACGATGCCCCACAGACATACAAATTATTTGTCAATTAAGAATAAACTTTTTTAAAGTGAAGTTTGTAGAGCTGACTCAGTTTAGTTTAATATTTAAGCTCTTTGGGTTCAGAAGCCAGACAGCCTCCAATCCTGGCTTCCCCACTTATAAGCTATGGTACCTGGAGTAACTTACTTAGCTTTTCTGGGCTTCTTCTCCTCATCTGTAAAAATGAAGCTGATAATAACTACCTCGTGGGAGGTTAATGAAGATTAAAGAATTAATAATCATGCTTAGAACATGCCCAATGTATAATACATACTTGATAAGTATATGTATCAGCTACTACTATTATTATTATCATTATGAAATTGCTTAATACATACTTTATGGCATATGGTGGGACCAAAATTAAGTATATGAATGTATCCACCAGTGTGTCCTATATACATCAAAAGGGGATGCATTAACTTATGGATACTAAATTTTGATCACATATCTATAATCATGTATTAACAAGAGATGGAGATGTCTGATTGACTCCCACTAGGCATAGGAATGAAAGTAAAAAGACAATTTCCACATCATTCTGACCAAGTATTTACCTCTCAGTAGGACATTCAAAGCTCCAAGCGTCCCAATCTACAGAGGCCACAGCTCCTCTATTGAGCACATGGATAGAAATGGTTCAAACTATTTATCACACAAGCCAGAAATGGCAGTTTCCTGGCGAGAGTGAGCTCCTTCTCGAAGGACACTGCCAACAGGGAGTCAGAGGAAGAGCTTTTTTCCCGTAGGAAGACTGCAGCAGCAGCACCAGAGCTGTCCCCGGCTTAAACTAACGCTGGATTGACCCACTTTGCCCATTAACCACTTAGATTAATGTAGCTGTGTCATCAGGCTAATGTGATGGAGGATTAAAGACAGCCCCGGCTCCCAACTTATTTTGCATTTGACTAAAAAGCAGGTCAAGTCAGAAAAAGCCCAAGTATTTTTACTTGTGCCAGCCCAGCTGCAACCTGACAGTCTACAAGAGCTTAATACTCAGAAGCAAAGTATTTCTTCAATCACAGGAAATCCTACCCCCAAAGTTCTTCAGGGCCATGGCAGGGAGCGGGTTTAGTTAGGGTCTGTCCTCAGAGTCCACCTTGTCTAGCATGGGCTATGTAGTCAGGCCGCCAGGTCAGACTCAGCACCAGCCTTCACTGAGGTGTGTGACCCTGGACACATCACTGCCATAGTTTTCTTATCTGAACAAGGAGGAAAATGATGATGTCTACCTCTTGGGACTTTTGAAAGGGCTGCAAAGCTAACTTGGGCACCCAGCCTGGCACCTCATCGGTGCTAGGAAAATGTTATCAATTATCTTCTGGTGACAGGATTGGAAACAAAGATGCAAGGGAGCAAGGTTTGCACGTGGGGGACTTGCCACTCCCTCACTTCTGCCCTCTAGGTAGGAAGGCTCAGCTCCAGAGAGGCAAAGTGAGGGATGCTGGCTCCTGTCCTCGGCCTGCCGGGGCTCCACCACCATCCCTGAACCCCACGGCCTGCATTTCCCCACTGGCCCTAAAGAAGGGTCGGTGGTAGTTGAACAAAATGGCTAACCCAGCCACTGTGACTGGGAAGTCTCATGAAAGGACCAGTAAAAGGGGAGGGGCGCTCAGCCATAAGTTAAGACTCCCTGAGCCATGGGCAGACTTACTCTGTGACTGACTGCTGCTCCCCTAAAACCATGCAGGTCGCCAACCCCAGGGCACCCATCCCCCCAGGACAGCCTGGTGTTTGTCTACATGTCAAATAACACTCAAGGAGCACAGAACTTATTTTGATTATTGTCAAAATAGTGAAGCTGGGGACTACTGCTGACAGACTTCTCAGCCCTCATTTGGTGGTGGCTCAGGGGCCACTCAGCCCTTGGTGTACCCGGATGCAAACAAAGCATGGCTGAGAAGTGAGATGCACAGCCGGGACCCTATCATTTGGACAAATGACTCCTCGGTCAGGGGCGCGTGGGTAGATGGAGCCTGGCATCTCCCAGTATGCCCCCATGGGTCTATCTGCTGTAGAAATAATTGCTGGATGACATGTGTCAAAACATAGTAAGGGGGACTCCACCCAGGACCACTGCATTGGGATATAGCTGTGTGGGAGAGAGACTGGGCGCACTCCACCTACTGCATGAGCCAGTGAGGACTCATAGCCAAGGAGCAGGGTGGAGGTCACGTGGATGGAAAATCACAAGAGGAGACATCTGGATGAGGGGGATTCTGGCTAAACTCACCTGACAGGATTCTCACTGGTGAAGGCCACCCAGACACTAGCTGGTGCAGGGTGGAGGATGAGGATATCTACCAAATAGATATCCAGGGTGGTCATCTTTCCAGAGAGAACAGTTCAGGCTAAAATGAGTCAGCAGGGGTCTTTGCTAAGACTGGGTGTTACAAGGACATGCACAGCTGGGCCTAGGAGAAGGTTCAGGAGCCTGACTAAACGTCAGTGAAGCTGAGAATCTTTGTCACACCACCAAGGAACACAGCACAGCCTGAGAAGTGCATGGAGAGCTCCTGGCCCA